CCATTGAAGAGGAATTTTGGCAAATATTGTCTATTTTAACTTATGGACAATTTTTTAATACAATTTGCATTTGCATTAGATGCGTATATATGATAGGGTTATGGGACAAAAAAAGATTAAATGAAGTAAAGGCTCCGGTGTGTAGAGAAGACCTCATCGTTTAAGAAGTAAAAGCTCCGGTGTATGGGAAATACAGTGAAAGCCCTGCCCTGCCCTGCACTACAGTCTTGATCGACGAAAGGAGTTATTTCCTTTTCATTTTGATGGACGAAAGGAAGAGACTGGAGTTGACAGAAAACAAATAGATATTGATACCTTCCATCGAGTCTTAGGAAAGGTCCTCTTAATGCTCTAACGCTCACACTAGATATAGACCAAACTGTCGTATTGTTTCTTAGTGTAGATTAGAAATTGATAATGGAGCGTGGCCAAGTGGTAAGGCAACGGGTTTTGGTCCCGCTATTCAGAGGTTCAAATCCAAGGCATGAGAGAAAAGTCTATTGGCTAGTGATTGTGAGGCCCCAATTCTTGACTGAATCAGCGAATAAGTTGTGGTTAGTGGTGAAATACTACTCGAACTCAAAGCTAGCTGGTTCTCTCCTCGATTCTACCCTTCTAAACGGAACATCAGCTCTAACAATTTCGTCGACATCTACCAAAAGGACTAGAAAAAGAATTTCATGCTTTTCCTTTCGAGAAGCTAGGATTAGGGAAATCCTCTTGATTGTATCTTTCTCCAGACCTCCGGGAAAACGCGTGAGGGGTGATTTCTTGTTTCATCCAGTCATTAATTACTTGATTATTTTTAGATAATAGTAGATAGAAACAACTCTTGTTCCGACCTATTCTCCTCTTGTTCGATTAACTAATGTTATTCTTAAATCTTGTTCATGAGATTGAGATTCCATGAATATGATATATATCTAGTGTGATGTATGGAATATATGACGAGGGTGGACTATTTCTATTGATCGGCCCAAGTTGCACTTGATTTCGTTGGTACCATTCAATCAAATCCAATTCAATTGTTTACTTATTCGTCCACTTGAAATTTTCAAAATAGCTTGGTTGAACTTGAAAATTTCAAGTGGATGAATACCGAAGACTGAACCTTGATATACCCCAGAACAATACATTTTTGTTATCATGAGAGATATTAGCCTAATTATCGATTAAAAGATTTAGCTTGTATGAATTGCTATTGGATTGATACCAATAATGGCAGTCGTTTTAGTATGTTAAGGATACATTTGTATCCACGATTGAACCAAATATAATACTTGGGCTAAGGCAATTGTTCTTACATCTCCCCCTTCGTGACTTCCGAAACTTCTTCATACATACTGGCTCCTTTCCATGTCTCATTTCAGAGGGAATCTCAAAGTGGCTCTATTTCATTAGATCTTTTTGAATAACGTTCTATTACTAGCATGTTTACTTCCATTGTAGATAATGTATTTGAGTTTTCATGATTTTGGCTGCTCCCATTTCACTCGCTGTTACTACTGTAATCGCTTTTGACTTCAACACCATGTCACCCCTATCTAGTGATTATACTCTCCTAATGATTCGTAATACTATATTACAAGATGCATGAATTCACCTGTCAAATGGAGAGCGCCTTTTTGAGCTCAAGTTTGGTCTCCCTCCTAAGTTGTTCTTATTTTCAAATAATAGTAGATAAAAACATTGCTTGTAAGGGATCCTATTAAAACCAAGGAAAATAAGCACGCCTGCCATCGACATTGGAAGAATCCGTTGGGGTTTCCAATATCAATAGGTTGATTAATCTTTTATAATTAATGAAAGATTATAAAATAAAAAATATGACAATATTTTGCTTATAATAAGGTCTTATAACTTATTAATTGAACTATTAAATTTGTGGGTAAATTTTCGCTTATAAGTGATTTTTCGAATTATAAGTAATGTTAACTTGCATGTGAATTTCTTACTAAGACAAAAAATTTTAAGTGAATTTTTAACTTGTATATAATTTTTAAAATTTTTATAAGTAAACTTTTTCTTGTACCTAACTTTTTTAGTTATAAGTAACTTTTTTGTAATTATAAGTAGTTTATCTGAACATGTGTTAATTTTTACGTATAAGTAATTTTTTTATATATAGGTAATTTTTATTTATAAGTAATATTTTTTTACGTGTAAGCCGTTTTTCATTAAAACTGATTTTTCTCTTAGAAGTCGATTTATACTCATAAGTGAGTTTTTAAGCTAAACATAGATTTTCAAATTTTTATGTATAGGTAAATTTTTTAGTACTAACTAATTTGTTTATTTATAAGTGAATTTTTAGGAATTAATAGTGTGTTCGGATAAATGTTTTTTTTTTTTTTCTCTCATAGGTGATTTCTTATACATAAGTGATTTCTAATTATGACTTTTTAAGCAATTTTTTGCTTATAATTGAATTTTTAATTTACTTATGAGTAAAATTTCTACTTATTTTACATATTATGTAACACTTATAAAATGTTTTCCGTTTTATTTTTCACTTCAGTTACTAGTAACAACGTTAGTATACGAAAACGCACCTTTGGAGTATAGGTTGAGGATAAACGGTGCAATTTTTCCGTTAAAAAGTTTTAGCCAAGCCGATCTGAGCCGAGCCGGTAGGATAAGCTAGACTGTCTTGGGCTACAAGATTGTCCGTGTATTGGGATGATAAACCTAAACATCTATGGTTGTAATCATCAATCAATCAATTTAATAAATCTTTAATCGCATCACGCCTTACGTCATTCCCATGTCATGCAAGTGTCAAGATGATGTCATACACCTTTTTGGGTTGCCAAATTTTTCATCATTAAAAAGGGATGCTCTGGCATTTTCCCTCCCCTATCTTATTCTATCCTTATCTGCAATTCAATAATTTTCAGCCGTTGATTTTTAGACTCCCATCAATAATTTTGACCCGCTATTCGTCCCGATTTTCTGAAATATTATGTTGAAGTGGATTCCACACGGACAATTATTAATTACTATGTTTATATTTCAATAATGATTACGAGAATTGATTTTTGATCGTTAGAGAGAAAAGTGAATCTTATTTGTGATTAAAAAAATAAAAAATGATGATTAAAATAGTGAAATAACAGTTAAAAAATTGATTTTTTTGAGTAAAAATTTGCTACCAAATGAGAGTTCAAGATTGATAATTAGTGACTTTTTAGAAACTCTTTACTGAAAATAGGAGCGAAGATGGCGAAATGTATAAACAATAATGAATAGTAACTTTGAATGTATAGTTGAAAATAAAATTTGACTTTGATTGAATAATAAAGGTAACTTTTGATTTGATAAAAATATTTTCCAACAAAACCTATTTATCTGAAAGAATTGTAAATGTAGACGCATATTTGAAATGAGGTGTGCCTATTGTAGCTATTTGGGAATAACCTAATAGCGTCTTCATAAAAGCGATCTTTGATGTGAGACCCAAATAAATTTGGCTTGAGGTGAATTTCGGGATGATATATGGAGAATTGCAACTTCTCCATCATCTATAGCCTTTGAGAAAATTAGTTGCATCACCTTATAGAAATTGGTATCAAAGTTAGAGGTATCATATTCGAGAGTTTGTGTATGATGCAAAACCATGCTTGAAATCAGGATAGATCTATTGTCGCTATAATATGAATCCTTAAAAGATTAGCCTACTTGTACACTTTTGACGTACATAATCATTTACAACTCCCTCACATGGAGGGGGTCCGCATATACATGTGAGGGGTGTAAATGATTATGTATATCAAAAGTATACAAGTAATATAGCCCATCATCTAATAGCACCTTCTTAAATTGTCTTTCGAAGTGAAGTCTGAACAAAATGAAGTTGGGAGAATTCCCAAATCTGAAATTGGGTGATATATGGTGGTATAACCATTGAGTTGCAGTCCACCCTATACCATTGGGGGTGTTGAATATTTCATCATCAAGCTTGGCACTGTATTTGTTCAATTTACAACTCTCTGTTTTAATTTCAACCACTTAAAAGCTTAATCGATTTATTAGAAAATCTCATGCTAATATGAATTGTGCTAAAAATATGTTGTTACATAAGTTAAAATTGACAATATTAGGTAAAATGTATCTAGGATTATGTCCAATGACGTGACACGAAAGAGTATGCATTATTAAGAGGACTGTCTAAATGTTTTTTTCTTTCTTTTCTTTTAACCACACATTCTTCATTAAAATAATATTACACGTAAATAAAAAAAAATTCCTTATTTTTCACCACACATTCTCTATCAATCTATTATTCTAAAATTCATATTTTCGTAAAAATGAGTGTCAAAGACTCCTTTAAATGAATTTCACTACAATTTAGCCGTTGTTAAAGACTCATTCTTCCAAATTTATTTTCCTCAAATTTATTTTTAATCATATATTTCATTAATACTTTTAATAATATATTTTCAAAAAAAAATTCATTTTAAAAAATTTATTCGGGAATAAGACTCTAAGAGGGAGTTAGTCATTTTTCATTCTGACTAATAAATGGATAAACATTAACGAAACCTCAAATTTCTAAATTTTGACTGAATATTAAATATCTCACCTAAAATTCGGCAACCCTGGCATCGGCTTGAGTCAATGCAAATTAGAGCCGACGACCCCACTTGACCGCAGAAGAACAGTCCTGTGCTGTACTGTGCAGTTAACTAGAGCAGCACCGTCAAAAATTTTAACTGTACTTTGATTTCGTCACTCTTCTAAATTATTACTAATTAAACCATGGTTTATTTGAAGCTGCCGCGTGTCCCCTCGTCTACGCGGTTACTCCTTTCCCACCCACTACCACCGCCTTATTTATTCAGCCCCAACTTCCTCAATTTCTCTGCTCTTATCATTTCCCATATTCTCTTCCTTTGCAATGTCGAACCCTGAAACGATTTGAACTAATTTGATTGATTCGTGTTTGTAGGCAAAAAATTGGGTTCGATTTGCTGATTATTTTTTGTCTCGGTAGTTTAAAAATGGTTTCTTCTGAGAATTTATTGGCGATGGAACAGCCATGGGGGCCGTTCTGTCAAACGTTTGCTGATTCTTGGTTTTGCGATGTCTTTTCTAAAGAAACGGAAGCTCTGACAAAAGTCTTGCAGAATTCGCTCACGAATCCGTCGATTGAGAATAATTCCAGTTATGAAATTTCGACGGATACGGTTGAGTCTTTTCTGGCTAGTCCCGAATTGACGCCCGTGCAGACGCCCACTGCTGCGGGAGGTTTAGGAAGTGGAGTTTCGGTTTCGAAACGCCGGATTGACGCGCCGACTGGGAGGATAAGTAAGCGGAAGTCGCGCCTGTCGAAGCGGGCGGCGGCTACGACGTTCATCACGACAGATCCGGCGAATTTCCGACAGATGGTGCAGGAGGTGACGGGGGTGAGATTCGGTGGTTTGAAGGGTCAGTTTGCGGCGGCGCAAGTGGTGAAGCCGGAGCCGCAAAGAGCTATGAGTTACATGCAGGATGGTGGATGCTTGCCAACTCTTGACACTTCAGCCTTTTTGCTGGACCAAGCGGGGTCCAGTTCATCTCTATCTGTTGAACGGCTGGCGGCCAATGTTTCTCCTTCACAGCCCATATCGGTGGGTGACGGCGGTGGTGGTGCTGGCTTTGAATTTGAGTCCTATTGTAGCTTTCCAACTCTCGAGTCTTGGAAAGCTGTGTAAGTGTAACCTGAAATTTTTCTTGCAAATCTTGGTCTAGACAGTCACAGTGCAGTTGAGTGGGGGTAAAAGGGAGAATCCGTAAATATTTTTACATTTTTATTGGCCTTTTGTGTCTGAGTGGAGGTGGATAAGTTTGGCCGGTGGCATGTATGGCTGGAGTTTTTTTTTTTTATTTAAATGATGAGCAATATTATGGAATTATGGTGGTATAATTAAGTGCTCGTTTTAAAATTTAAAATTTAAAATTTAAATTGTTTGTTACAGTATCATTTTACATCATATATTTTTATAATAAAATTGTAAACAAATTAATGAAGTTTTTTTAGTCTTTAATTATATATTTTTCAGTAAAATACTATTTAAAATAGTTTTTCAAATAATGGATGACAAAAGTTTATGAATAATTTCAAATATAAATGTCACATATATTATGGAACTTTATTTTATTATGGGCTAAAAATATTAAAGAGCAAAAGAAATTGTTGGTCCAAATAAAGATATTGATACGGCTAAACTAGCAATTATTCTAACCATGGACCAAAAATTACTTATGCTTTTATGACGTGTTCTTATGCATTTGTGAAAGATAAATTACAGCTGGTTAGAATTTTGCTAGTCGTACAATCGGGATTAACAATCTACTTACATAAGGGTGTTCAAGATTTTTTAATTTATTGGGGGCCTTTTTTTATGTATGTGGTGGTCAACTTCGATTGTATATATAGCACGATTGTAATAAACTAGATGCTATGTATCATGTAAATATTAAATAATTGAATTGAAAATTACACACTTTTCTTATCATGAACACATCATTGACCAGAGATCATCAATCTTATGAAGATTAAAAAAACTCCATCCCCCACCTAGAACACAAACATACGGCCGATAAAAAATGAAAAAATATATAACAAATTCTCCTTTTACCCCTTCACTACATTGTAATTCTTGAGGTAACATAATCTCTCATGATTCGAAGATAGCAAAGCTACCGAAGGCGGTTCAATCAATTCATAGAACCTCGTGAGTGTGGCACGCACCTTTTTCTTTCTTAGGACGCCATTTTGGCAGGGCATACTAAACCCACTGACTTTCGTGGTTAAGGGTTTTTGATAAAAATAAAAAATAAAAAAATAAAATAAAGAACCAATAAAATAGAGCGATCTCTTTTCAATTGGGGAAATTCCAAGCTCCAGACAAAAATGTGTGTGTTCAAAAAATAATAAAAACGGTTGTAATAAACACTAACTATTGTCGATGGTTTATTATTATTGAAATCAATACTTATAGGTGATTTTAGAAGGAATTATTGACATTGATATCATCAGTTATATAGTACGCGAGTTACTAATTGTCGATATAGAAAAAGTTGATGTGGTTCCACATGTTCGGATAGCGCCTATGTGGCCTTGTACAAGTAGCAAAACCCTATATTTACAAGTCAATGGAACACTCCGAGAAAGATTCAATATGGCGAAGGACGAAATAGGGTCATTTGCGACCTTACTTCTAAACCTGGCGGCCAATCCAAACTGCTGGCAGACGTCTCAAGCTATTTGGCACATGTTCATCTTCAAGTTGGATTTATTTTTATTTTTTACAATGTTTTTTGCCATTTTCCCACAAAATTGGTCGTGTAACTGTAAGATTGATTTGTAGTGACCCTCATATAAGGTTGAAACTCTTTGGAATGGTTGTATTTGATCTTTACTTTTTGATATAAATGAAAATCCACTATTGTTCTTCTCCTATTATTTTCATCTTGGAATTTTAAGTTCTTGTTAATTCAAGATCATATTTTGTTTCCAGGATACTGCAAAACCAAATAGTATAGACTCTTACATACATTCTTATACATCTACAGTGTTCGATTTTATTTTCGATAGTGCATAAACGTTAACATTATTTCTTTCCATTGCATCTTGGAGGCTTATTTGAATCTTGATGCACTTTTTACAAGGGACGAACACAATCTTAAGGAGAGCACTATCCCGTGTGATGCAATCTTCTATTGATTTTTTGTTTCGCTTCATTGAAAAGGAGTACCCTCATCAACTATCTTAAAACTACATATCAAGCAAATATGTAATGGCTCCTCCCATGTCTTTGCTTGGAGCCTTCCTAGTTGACTTCATGAAATTGGAAATGTTCGACGGGTTAAACTTCCTTAGATGGCAGAACAAGTTGCATTTTCCTATTCACTACATTGAATGTGATTTATGTTCAACCACATCGAAGCCCAAAGAGAATAAAGATGAACTATTGGTGATTTTCAACGCTATTTCTGATGCTCTCTTCAAATGATACCACAACAAGTCTATCGCCGAGGATATTTGGGATACATTGGAGGCTAAGTATATGAGGACGCTACACGCAAGAAATTCATGGCCTCTAAATACTTCGTTCACAACATGGTGGACAACAGAAAGGTAGTTGAACAATTTCATGAACTCAACCACAATTACAATCGATTTATTCAATTGTCCATGTGTAAATCTTGCAGTGTTATAAACTTGTTGTGAGTCTCTCAACTCTACAACAAGCAATTAATTATTTATATAGTGCAAAAGAATTTAAATAATACAATGAGAATGTAAAAAGAAAATTGACCTACCATATGAAATTTAGAACCCTGCATGGGCATCTAATTTGTGCATGTGTCCCAAGGCCATATTGGCCCCAGGTTTGGGAAAGCTTGCTATTAGCTTTCAGTAAGTCTCTTTCTTTTTTTCAAGCTATAACGGTTTTTTTGTCAATCCCCCAAACTTTCTTTGAATGTGTATTATGGTCCTTTTTCATTTCTTTTTAGTCCTTAGCCTTTCTTTTTCATCCAATTGACTCCTATCATTCTCCAATCATTGATATATAGCACAAATCATCTTTTGAAAGTTTCCAATTTAGTCCCTAAACTTTAATTTTTTTTCGTTTTAGCCCTTTTGCTTCTTTCCTCCTATTCCATCATTTTGCATCAATTTTCTCCTAACAAACAAAATATATACTGAATTAAACCATAAGTCATCAAAATCAATAGCAATTAATCTAATTTAGCAGGCCACATAAGTGTACAAAATACGCTTATCACGAAACTACATTGTCTAGAGCGTATAGTCTAATATACAATGACAAGTCTAGATACATTGGATAAGGATATAGTTTGGTATGACAAATTATTTAGAATTGTATAATTATCTTAGGTTATGTCAAGTCAAGCCATAACTTGATGGATCCTTTAACGAAAAAACTTGCAAAGGATTTAATTTGGAAGAAAAGTTAAAGGAATGGGATGGTGCCCAACTAATAATCATCGATGATGAAAATTCGACCTAAATGTGAGTGACTGCGAACATTTTATTTTATTTTTTTAATCCCAAGTGTTTGGTAAACATGTCAAGAAAAGAAATATTAACCTATCTAGCTCTTATATAGGTTTATATAGATAAATATATAGAATACTCTGGATATATTAGTATTCTCGATAACTCTATATTTATGAATATCGTGAATGGTGCCGTCTCTAAAGTAGTTTGGACATTCACAAATTAAACCAATATATAAGACACATCCTATTCACACGACGATTTTATGAAAACTAAAAGATGTTCAACTTTGTGCATGTACTGCTTTCGACTAGCTACATAGGATTGTCATTTTAAAGCCTTGCTACCATGCCACGTTAGTTAACGTTTGAGGTATTCTCAATAATTAAGAGTTCAAGTCAAAAAGACAGCTTCATCTATTCGCAAACTTGGTGAGATTATATGAGAGATTTTTCAAATTTATATTTTTTGAAAATGGTGGAGGATTGTCGGAATATTTTTATTAGTGTCATTTTTGAATATTGTGGGATGCATTTATGAGCTTGCAAGAGTCAAGGAATGCTAGGAGAAGATTCAATATGATGAAGGACGAAATGGGGTCATCCAAGACATCAATTGCTAGAAAATATGATGGAGAAATGGAGTAGAGACAAAAATAATATCACACTAAAAGCAACAACAAAAATAATTAAAACTAGAAATTTGACAAGAACAAGATCGAAAGCTCGAAAACGTAATCGTTGTCTTCAAACCATATTTGCCTCCTCTCGAGATTGATTGAGATGCTTAAGAATTTTGGCAAACGGTTCGTAAGATTATATCAAGTATTGTAAAGGATCTAGCACTAAAGAATAAGTGCGATCCTTCAAAACTCTAAGAACACAAAGAAGAAAAGAATATGAATGTGAATCAAGAATTTGATATTTAATATTGGAATGAATATGGATCACAAATATTTCTCACTTATTTTTGGCTTGAGATGCATTACCTATATATAGGCCACCACCAATGTGCATGAATTGGTGTCAAAATAGGTTGAAAAGTCATCACAATTCGGAGTTGCAATGATAGAAAATCGATCTCCAACGGTCAATTTCGTATAACTATGCGACTGCATAGTATAAATCTACGCGAGAACATAGAACAACCCAAAGAGGCTCCATAATTTCCTGCAATAGGCCATGCGACTGGATAATATTAATCATGCGGCTGCATAGAACAAGGTTTTGCCTCTAATACCGTTTTTTGTTTTTTCTTCATATTTATTCATCACATTTCATTTTTATTGAATGTTGAACAACATTTCAACAATCCCCTACTTTTTCAAAATTCGAGAAAAAATTCTCATACTCAAATCAGACGATACTCATGCATAAGGACTAGATATCTTTTGATTTGAATCTAGCCATAGTGTAATCCAATCAAAGTAAAGTCGGAATCAAAAGTAACCATAGCTTGGAACCGATTATTCCATGTGACAATACCGATTCAAACACACACACAAGTATTACGTGTTCTCAAGTTCCTCATAACTCTCTTAGCGCTGTTATGACCTTGTGCTCATCCTATTCGACAAACTTTTAAGAGAGAAACTCCGACTCTCAATTGAGACGGCACCACCTCGAAGTTTGTTTAGGTAAGTTCTTTAAGCACCTTTGTTACTTTTAGAAATACTTGTGTTTTAGCACTGAATTTCATTAAGAGCTTTTACGTTCAACCCTCATTTCAGTAACAACCAGTATTATTTTACTTAGGATACGGTTATTGCGGATTTGAATAATGTTGAAACCATCCCACATATCAAATGACTTGTTTTTACCCTTGGATCTCGTGGATTACCTTTTGAGTAATGACAGGTAGGATTGCTGTCATTGGTGGACCTTTATTGCGAAAAGGGTTTCAACCCCATCCTACTCGAAGTCAATGCCACTAAATCTCTATTTAGTTGTTTAGTTAAAGGATCCGCTAAGTTCTCTATTGACTTTACATAATTTAGGAAAATTATGACATCTTTGATTAATTTCCTTATGTAGTCGTGTCTTAGACTCATATGTCTAAACTTTTCATTGTATACCTCATTGTATGCTTTCGCTAACGTGGCTTGACTATCACACATGATAGATATTGAAAACATATTCTTCGATCCCAGAGGTATCTTATAGAAGAGATCCTTAAACCACTCAACCTTTTTCCCAGTATCCGATAGTGCCACAAATTTAGATTCCATGGTTGAGTGTGTTATACATGTTTGTTTTTTTAATTTCCAAGAAACAGCACCTCCTCCAAGAGTAAACACTCAACCTGAGGTGGATTTACTTTCACCCGTGCTAGATATCCAACTAGCATTGGTGAATCCCTCCAATACTGTCAGGAATTTATTATATTGTAGGCCCAAGTTCTTGGTTTTCCTTAGATATCCAAGAACTCTCCCAATAAACTTCCAATGATCGTCGCTCGGATTGCTAGTATACCTGCTAAGTTTACTTATTGCATAGACTATGTTCGATCTTGTGCATTGAACTGCATACATAAGACTCCCTATAGCACTTGCATGTTCCAATTCAGCAATCGTTGTTCCACTATTCTTTAAAAGTGTCAAATTTGGATCAATTGAGGTACTATATTCCTTTAAGTTCAAGTGTTTGAACTTATTTATCACATTCTCAATATAATGTGATTGACTCAAATGGTAACCCCCATAAGTCTTTGTGACTTTGATACCCAAAATGGTATCCACATGTTCAAGATTCTTCATTTTGAGTGTGGAAGATAGAAATCTCTTTGTTTTTTCTATACCATCCATGTGATTACTCATAATTAACATGTCATCAACATATAAGTATATAAATGTCACATAATTTTCACATATTTTGAAATATAAGCATTTATCTACATTATTATGTTTAAACCCGAAATATATAATTGTTAAGTCAAACTTCTCGTGCCATTTTTTAGGTACTTGTTTCAAACCGTATAAAAATTTCACTAACTTGCATACCTTATGTTCATTCCCAGGTAGGACAAACCCTTTGGTTGTTCCATATAGACCTCCTCATCGAGATCTCCATTTAGGAATGTCGTCTTGACATCCATTTGATGAATATACAAGTCATATATTGAAACTAAAGCGAATAATATCCTAATCGATGTTATTCTAACAACTGGTGTATAAGTATCAAAATAGTCGATTCCTTCTTTTTGTCGATATTTTTTGGCTACCAATCTAGCCTAGAAAGTATTTAGGGATCCATCAACATTATATTTTCTCCTAAATACTCATTTGCATCCAATAGGTTTGGATCCTGGTGGTAAATCAACAAGTTCCCTAGTATTATTGGACATTATCGAATCTATTTTGTCCTTAATTGCATCCTTCCAAAAGATACTGTCACGTGAAGCTATAGCTTCTTTATAAGTCTTGGGGTTGGTTTTCACTTGTAGAACAAAAGGAATTGTTCTTACAACATTCAACTCGTTTCCCTCTACTAACTAAAAGGAGTTAAGTTGAGAATCGATTTCATTCGGTCTCAAAGACTTCTCAACCCGAGTTCTCTTGCTTCTTCGTGGTTCACTAGATTCATCAACATCTTTAAAAAACATTTCATCATGTGTTCCACTTGAGTTAGGGACATATTTAAGATTTTCCCTCAATTCATTATTCGAAGATAACGAATCCTCAAAGAACTCCACATCGTTTG